TGCATGCAGGAGGCAACAGACAGATGTTTCTCTCCCTCTTCTCTCAGATCAATGAAATATACTTAGATAATAATTATAATTTAAAAAAATAATAATAACCAGAGAGTTGGCGCGAGGACTGAACGTTGGCGGAGGCTGTTGTGGCTGTTCCCGGAGGCGGCTGGTCCAGCCGGTCCAGCTGGCGAGGCCTCCCAGCGGCGGGAGGTGCACAGGCCCCAGGCGGCCTGGCTGCAGGGCTGCACCCAGCAGCCGGCGGCGGCGCGGCGGAGGCGCTGGGAAAGTGCAGGTGGGTGCGGGGAGGGAGCCGGAGGGTGTGTGCGGAGAGGGGGGCAGGGGGGGCAGTTGGGGAGCCGGGAGACGCGGAAAGGCGAGCCAGAGACTGAGAAAGGAACAGCATTGGGAGCTCAAAGGCCATTGGGAGTGGAGTCTGGCGTTTGGGGAGGGCGGAGAGGAAATGGGGTGGAAGGCAGGAAGACAGAGGGACCAGGCGAGGACTGTGCTCTGATGGGTGTGGTCCAGCGGACTCCTCAGGACCTCAGAGCCCTGGGAGGCGGCAGGAGGAGAGGGTAAAGTGATGGGCAAAGCGGGGCAAGGAGAGCACCTAAAATAATGTCAGCGTTACAAATGAAAAGACTCACATCTTCCAGGTTCTCATCCTGAGGAGCTGCCAGCTTGCAGCCCATCTGAAGGAACCAGGACCTTCAGGGGTAAATAGAAGACAGGAAAGGGAGCTGGCCTAATATTTACTGAGCATCCACAGGCTGCCAGCTGTGTGTCATCACCCTAATGGGAATGAGGAAACCGAGGTGTGCCCAGCTAGGGAAGGCGTGGCAATCACACCCTGGTTTGTCACTTAGATGAGGTTCTGTGTTAGTCGTTGCAAAGGAACAAAAGTATGAAGTAATCTTTAATGTTGACTGAGCATTTTATGCTGGGCATTGTGCTCAGTATTTCAGATATGTTACCTTGTTTGGTACAATTCTATGCGGTAGGAAGAATAAAGATACAGACACTGCAGGCAGGCTTCTTGCTCTGGAGTGGCTTACAGTGTAAGGGTTCGGAGAAAAGAGGTGCCCTTTGCTGGAGTATTACATGCCTTACTACTTTTTAAAGTATATTTTTTTATTTCAGAAAGAAAGGGAGAAGGTTAAAGAGGTAGAAACATCAGTGATGGGAGAGCATCATTGATCGGCTGCCTCTTGTACGCTCCCTACTGGGGGTTAGCCCAAAACCGGGGCATGTGCCCTTGACTAGAATTGAACCCAGGACCCTTTAACCCACAGGCCGAGGCTCTATCCATTGCGCCAAACCGGCTACGGCTGGATGTCTTACTAATGGCAGGTACTCACAAAAATGCAGTGACATAGATACTGCCATTATCTCTGTTTTATTTTTATTTTAAATATATATTTTATTGATTTTTTACAGAGAGAAAGAGAGAGGGATAGAGAGTTAGAACCATCGATGAGAGAGAATCATCGACCAGCTTCTCTTGCACACCCCCTACTGGGGATGTGCCCGCAACCAAGATACATGCCCTTGACCGGAATCGAACCTGGGACCTTTCAGTCCGCAGGCTGACGATCTATCTACTGAGCCAAACTGGTTTCGGCCATTATCTCTGTTTTAAAGATGAAAAAAAAAAATGAGGCTTACGTTAAAAAATTTACTCAAGTAAGCGAGGGTTCAAGCCCAATTCTTATTGCTACAGAGGCCAGTGCTTTTACCCTTTCCAAGGCAGCGTAATAGGACCCGGGGAGTGGTTTCAAGGGAGCTGTGACTTTGGAGGCAAGCGAGATGATTGTGATTTGGGATTAACAAGGAAAATTTAACTGAGCAGGTAGAAAGGGATTTGAGATTAGTCAGGTCTGTTGGATTTGGACAATAGTCTCAAGACGAGGTGTTAACCTAATCTAAACCATGTGTGGCAGTCTTTCCTGTGGGTGGCTACAGCTTGCTTGACTAAAACCCACTCAGCACTGTTAATAAAAAATAAAATTAAACCATGTTCTGATTGAGCAATCGTCACAGTGCTCTCCAGGGAGGCAGAGGCCTTAAGCAACACCCTTTGCCCTTCCCACGTCCATGAGAGAGGCTTTCTCTCCTTGGTGTCTCTGGACTCACAGTGGTTTTCCTTTCGATCGCATGTCTCAAATTACAAATTTCTGTTGTTCCCGATTAAAACTATTTTGCTGGAGAAATATCTGGCTCTCTATTTTGTCAAAAGTGAAATAAAATGAAGTCACTTGTGTTAAGGAGCTTTAAAATGGAGCCTAGAGGCATTAAAAAAAAAAGGAGGGGGGGTCTTATGCACATCCTTACTGGACAGAACATGAACTTTGGAAATAGGCAAGACTATAAATATTCTAGGATGCTGTAAGAACACCTGCAACTCCTCGCAGAGATGCACTTTTTACTTCGAGATAGCTTTAGCAATTAATTTTGTGTAGCCAAAGTTAGTTTTCTGTCCCCAGCACCAATTTAAATTCTTTATGAATGATTTATGCAAACTCCCTTTTTGCCTTTAAAAATCTCCTGATTGCCCTCGCTAGTTTGACTCAGTGGATAGAGCATCAGCCTGCAGATTGTAGGATCCCAGGTTCGATTCCAGCCAAGGGCACATTCCTGGGTTGTGGGCTTTATCCCTAGTGGGGGATGTGCAGGAATCAACCAATCAATGATTCTCTCTCATCATTGATGTTTCTGTCTCTCCTTCCCTCTCCCTTCCCCTCTGAAATCAATAAAGATATATATTTAAAATAATAATAAAATAAAAATCCCCTGACTTCTCTGGCAGACACTTTGGGTTGCTACCTGAATCAGTGTCCCCAGATTTGCAGCTCCTTTAAACCCCAAATAAATGCTTTTCTGTATTTTTGCCTCCTGACAATTTAGGTTAGTAATTTGCTTGAGGTCAATAGGGTGCTTAAAGAATATGTAGTTTGCAGATTTCTCTACTAAAAAGGATATCCTATATATTGAAGAAGTAATATGCAAATTGACCATCACACAAGATGGTCACAAGATGGCTGCCTACAACCAGGCCAGCAGGGGGGTTAGTGAGGGACAACCAAATGACTAACAGTAGGCTGTGTGGGGCTACCAGGCCAGCAGGGGTGGGGAAGTTGGGGGCAATTAGGCTGGCAGGAGGGTAGTGAGAGGTGATTAGGTGGCAGAGGGGGTGGCAGTTAGGGGCAACCAGGCCGGCAGAGGGGAGCAGTTGGGGTGACCAGGCTAGCAGGGGGGGCAGTAAGAGGTGACCAGGCTGGCTTGGGGGGGGCAATTAGGAGCAACCAGGCCAGCAGGGAGGGGTCAGTTAGGGGCAACCAGGTCGACAGATGTGTCAGTTAGGGGTGATCAGGCTGGCAGGCAGAGGCAATGAGGGGTGACCAGGCAGGCAGGCAGGTGAGCAATTAAGAGCCAACGGTCCAGGATTGTGAGAGGGATCCCAGATTGGAGAGGGTACTGGCTTGGCTGAGGGGACCAACCCCTCTCCCCGTGCACAAGTTTCATGCACTGGGCCTCTAGTGAAATTATAAATGTAAAATCAAGTACAAAGCATTGGAAAAGGCCTGAACTGAAATTTGATGAAAAAATCCACCACAGAGTAAAAATCTATAATTCATGAAAAAGTAGGAAAATCCAGGATGAGGAGGAGATACCATTTGCCTAGAAATAACATGAGAATCCAGTATATAACAATAATTATTACCTCGTTTGGCTGTTTTTACTCACACAGTAATATGCCAGGCCCCTTAGATGTGGCAAGGTGTGGAAGGTAATCAGATGCACAAATACTACAAGCAAAATACCCTGCTGCACATTTTAAAAGACTATGATCATTATCAACAAAATGCTAAAACTCGATTCCAGCCCTGCACTATTTAGCCATTAAGAGTGGGGACTGGAGATGGCTTTGTGCCAGGCTCCTTCAGTGGCAACCCTGGCACAATCCTCTGCCCAGGCCCAAGGGCGTTTGAGAGGCAGAACTAGGAAATTTTCTCTCTCTCTTTTTCAGTGGCAACCCTGGCACAATCCTCTGCCCAGGCCCAAGGGCGTTTGAGAGGCAGAACTAGGAGATTTTCTCTCTCTCTCTCTCTCTCTCTCTCTCTCTCTCTCTCTCTCTGTGTGTGTGTGTGTATGTTTTGAACTAGGAAATTCTTTCCCCAAAAGGGTGGAGGTTTTTCAGCCAGGAGGCTTTGAGCATGTTCATGTGTGTCTGATCTCTCTTGCTTTTATTTTTTTTAAAAAAATATATTTTATTGATTTTGTACAGAGAGGAAGGGAGAGAGATAGTTAGAAACATCGATGAGAGAGAGTCATCGATCAGCTGCCTCTTGCACACCCCCTATTGGGGATATGCCCGCAACCAAGGTACATGCCCTTGACCGGAATCGAACCCGGGACCTTTCAGTCCCCAAGCTGATGCTCTATCCATTGAGCCAAACCGGTTCCGGCTGATCTCTCTTGCTTTCAAACATAGGCTACAGCCTAGCCATTTTGGCTCAGTGGATGGATCGTTAACCTGCGGACTGAAGGGTTCCAAGTTCGATTCCTGTGTAAGACATGTACCTGGCTCTGGTCAGGCTTATGAGGGAGGCAACCAATTGATGCGTCTCTGTCTCTCCCCCTCCCTTCCACTCTCTCTCTAAAAATCAATGGGAACATTTTCCTCGGAGATTAACAACAACAACAAACAACAAACTGGGCTGCTGATTGGCAGGGCCAGGTTCCACGCAGCAGGCTGCCCTAGCCTATTAGGCTCTCGGCCTGCAGAAGGGCAGCCTGCCAGTAGAGGCTGTCAATCACCGGGTCTAACTTTCTCCAGATCCCCACATTCCGTTGGTCCGAGGTCTGAAATTAAGTCGCAAAAAACGATGGAATCTTCTCTCGCGGTCCTGCGAGTGTCTGGACTCTGCCGATGGGGCCTGAGGCGCTGGGCACCGCGCAGAACTCCAAAGTTGGGCGCTCAAGGACCCTTCTCTTGGGCCCCTGCCAGGATGGCGGCAACGTTGACCTTGGAGCCCGCCGGCCGCAGCTGCTGGGACGAGCCTTTGAGCGTCGTGGTGCGCGGCCTGGCGCCGGAGCAGCCGGTCACGCTGCGGGCATCCCTGCGCGACGAGAAGGGCGCGCGCTTCCGGGCCCACGCGCGCTACCGCGCCGGCGCCGGCGGCGAGCTGGACCTGGCGCGCGCGCCCGCGCTGGGCGGCAGCTTCGCGGGGCTGGAGCCCATGGGGCTCTTCTGGGCCCTGGAGCCCGAGAAGCCCTTCCTGCGGCTGGTGAAGCGGGACGTGCAGACGCCCTTCGCCGTGGAGCTGGAGGTGCTCGACGGCCACGAGCCTGACGGAGGACGGCTCCTCGGCCGGACGGTGCACGAGCGCCACTTCCTGGCGCCCGGGGTGCGGCGGGAGCCGGTGCGCGCGGGCCGGGTGCGCGGCACGCTCTTCCTGCCGCCAGGTGAGTGACATCACTTCCATTTTTTCTGCATATATTAATATATATATGTTTTACTTCCTCCGCTTCCACTGAGAGGATGGAGGGAGCTCCCAATGTTCAGGAGGTCTTTGGGGCCTTAAAATGTCCTGTGAACGGAATGTAAGGCTGGCTGGGAGGTGGCTCTGCCAGTTGCAAAGCTGAGAGATCAGTTAAAAGATAATCCTGCCCCTTCGGAGCGGCCCAGCTGGTTGAGCATGGGCCTGTGAACCGAAGGGCTGCCAGTAGGATTCCTGGCCAGGGCATATACTTGTGTTGCCAAGTTCCATCCCCCAGCTGGAGGGATCAGTGCATGTCTCTCTCTCTCTCTCTCTCTCTCTCTCTCTCTCTCTCTCTCTCTCTCTCTCTCTCTCCCACACTTTAAAAAAAAATCAATGGTAAAAATATCCTCCAGTGAGGATTAACACTAAAGAAAAGGAAAAAACAGTTGTAATTTTTAAAGTTATTTTTTTATTGTTGATACTATTACAGATATCTCCCATTTCCCTCCCTTTATCCCCCTCTCCCAGCCCCTATCCACCCCCCACATCTTCACTACCCTAATGCCCCTGTCCATGGGCTATGCATATCCTATCCTAGCCTAGATGATAAGACCCTAATAGGCAAATTGACCAAACAGCAGAACAAGCAGATGCTATGATGCACACTGAACACCAGGGGCAGATGCTCAATGCAGGAGCTGTCCCCAGTGGACAGTGTGCTCCCAGAGGGGAAGCACTGCTCAGCCGGAAGCTGGGCTCACAGCTGGTGAGTCCAGGGGCAGTGGTGGGAGCCTCTCACCTCTGCTGCAGCACTAAGAACCCTCTGGAGGATGTCCGCCTGCTGGCTTAGGTCTGCTCCTTACAAATGGCATGTACGAGGCCTCTAGTTCTATATAATAAAAGCCTAATATGCTAAGTGTTCCACTGTAGTACACTGGCCACCAGAGGGAAAACACTCCCACTCATAGGTTAGCTTGCTGCTGGGGGCCAGTCCATGGGGACTGGGCAAGCCGGGCTGGACACCCCCGGGAGCTCTCCTGTGGTCCCTCCCCAGCCCGAGAGTGTACTGGTGGGGTCCCTTGGCCTGGTCTGCACCCTCTCACAATCCAGGACCCCTTGGGGGATGTCGGAAAGCCAGTTTTGGCCCGATCCCCACAGGCCAGGCTGAGGGACCCCATGGCGCCCGAATCCATGCACTGGACTCTAGTAAGAATATAAGTTCTTTGGTTTATCTCTTCTCGTCCTAGTCACACATTGAGATATGTCAGTCTGTTCCATGCCTCCATGCTTTGGGTCTTATTTTATTGGTCAATTCATTTTATTCATTAGATTCCACAAATAAGTGAGATTATGTGATATTTAACTTTCTCAGATTGGCTTATTTCACTTAGTAGCTTCACTTAGCACAATATTTTCCAGACAGTTGTAATTAAAACAAACAAAACAAAACAAACAAACAAAAACCCACAAAAACTGCCAAAACGGGTTTGGCTCAGTGGATAGAGCGTCGGTCTGCGGACTGAAGGGTCCCAAGTTTGATTCTGGTCAAGGGCATGTACCTTGGTTGCGGGCACATCCCTGGTGGGGGGTGCACAGGAGGCAGCTGATCGATATTTCTCTCTCATCGATGTTTCTGACTATTCCTCTCCTTCCTCTCTGTAAGAAATCAATAAAATATATTTAAAAAAAAACATTTATAGGAAGTTTCAACTTTTTAATTTCCTAAAGGTTTCTCAAGTTTACAATTTTGCTTATAATTCACACTATATATATATGTATATTTATATATATATATATATTTAAAATATGTTTTTATTAGTTTTTAGAGAGAGGGAGAGAGAAATAGAAACATCAATGAGAGAGAAACATCACCAATTGGCTGCCTCCTGCACAGCCTCAAGTGGGGAGACCAAAACCTGGGCATATGCCCTGACCGGAAATTGAACTGATGACGTCTTGGTTCCTAGCCATACAGGCCAGGCTCCCACAGTATGTATATTAAGGTTTAAGAAAATTAGCACGAAAGAGGAAGGCCTCTTGCTATTAACTGGAAATCTTTTGAAGTTATTGGATAATTTTTCAATTATATAAAAAAAATTGGCCAATGAGAAAAATAAAAAGATGCTTTTCCTGACCTTACCAAGTGGCTCAGTACACCAAATGGTGTGTCGTCTGGTACACCAAATGGTTGCAGATTCTATTCTCAATCAGGACATATCCCTAGGTTGAGGGTTTGATCCCAGTTGGGGAGAGAATAGGAGGAAAACAACTAATATTTCTTTCTCACATCACTTCTTGTTTTCTCTCTTTCTTCCTCTCTAAAATCAAATATGTCCTTGGTGAGGATTTCTTTAAAAGATACTTATACTATTAAGAATCAGGGAAATGCAAAATATAACTACACATTTCAAACCCTCAAAATTTAAAAGTTTAATATTACCAATTGTTTTTTGTTTTTGTTTTTTAAAATATATTTTTTATTGATTTTTTCACAGAGAGGAAGGGAGAGGGACAGAGAGTTAGAAACATCAATGAGAGAGAAACATCGACCAGCTGCCTCCTGCACACACCCCCCCATCGGGGATGTGCCAGCAACCAACGTACATGCCCTTGACCGGAATCGAACCTGGGACCTTTCAGTCTGCAGACCGATGCTCTATCCACTAAGTCAAACCGGTTTCGGCTAATATTACCAATTATTGACAAGTATGTAGAGGAAAAGGAGTTCACACTGCTAAAAGGAATATATTCATCTATTCCTGGAAAAAAAAATTTTGTTGTTGTTGATCCTCACCTGAGGATATTTTTCCATTGATTTTTTAAAATATATTTTGTTGGCCCAGAAAGGAACTCACTGCAGACTGATTCATTTTCCTCTCAGCATAACCATTATGGCTTGTCTCAGTTTCGGTTCTTACAAGGATATTTCTTGGACCACATGATCTCACACATCTAGAGGAAATAATGAACAACACAAACTGATGAACAAAAACAGACCCAGAGAAAGAGAAGCAGTGATCAGACTCTCAAATCTCAGAGGGAAGGTAGGGGAGGGTGGGGATAAAGGGGAGAGATCAACCAAACTTGTGTGCATGCATATAAGCCTAGCCAGTGGCCATGGACAACAGGGGGGTGGGGGCATATGTGGGGAGGGGTTTGGGATGGGAATGGGGAGATGAGAACAATTATGTGATACCATAATCAATCCATAAATAAATAAATAAAATATATTTTATTGACTTTTTACAGAGAGGAAGGAAAAGGGATAGAGAGGTAGAAATATCAATCAGCTGCCTCCTGCACACTTCCCACTGGGGATGTGCCCACGACCAAGGTATATGCCCTTGACCAGAATTAAACCTGGGACCCTTCAGTCTGTAGGCCAATGCTCTATCCACTGAGCCAAACCAGTTAGGGCTGATATTTTTTTTTTTTAAGGAAGTGGGCAAATCAGGAGGGAGAGAGAGAAATATCCATGTGAACAAGACACATCAATTGGCTGCTTTCCGCACATTCCCCAATTGGGGCCAGAGATTGAACTTGCAATGCAGGTACGTGCCCTTGACTGGCATTCAAATCTGAGACCCTTCAGTCCACAAGCCAATACTAATCACTGAACAACACTGACCAGAGCTGGAAATAATTTAAAAACTCTTTTAAAATATTTTTTTTAATTGCTTTCAGAGAGGAAGGGAGAGATAGAAACATCAATGATAAGAGAAAATCATTGATTGGCTGTCTTCTGCATGCCCCACACTGGGGATTGAGCCCAAAATCTGGGCATATACCCTGACCAGGTATCGAACCATGACCTCCTGGTTCGTAGGTCAATGCTCAACCACTGAGCCACGCTGGCTGGGCAAGAAAACAATTATATATTAATTGATTTTTTACAGAGAGGAAGGGAGAAGGATAGAGAGTTAGGAACATCGATCAGCTGCCTCCTGCACACCCCCTACTGGGATATGCCCGCAACCAAGGTACATGGCCTTGACTGGAATCGAACCTGAGACCCCTCAGTCCGCAGGCTGACGCTCCATCCACTGAGCCAAACCAGCCAGGGCAAGAAAACAATGTTTTACTTAGAAAGTTGACTATATCATTCTACTCCTGGTTCGTGTGCACCAAGAAGTATTGTTTGTAAGAGCAAAAACAACTGTCCAACAACAATAAAAATGATAAATTGAATGAAACAATCAAATTCATACAGGGTATGTAGCCTTTTGTCTAGCATAATGCATTTGCGATTCATTTGTGTTGCTCGATATATCTTGTTTTTTAGTAGTACTCCATTATCTGGTTGTTTATTCACTCACCACTTGAAGGACATGTGGGTTTCAAATCTTTGAAGACTATGAATAACGTCACTACAAACACTTGCATACAAGTTTTTGTGTGGATACAAATCTTCATTTCTCCTTGGTAAATATACCTAGGAGTGAGATTGCTAGATCATATGGTAAGTTTTTGTTTAACTTTATACAAAACTGCACAACTGTTTTCCAAAGTGGCTGTACAATTTTGCATTTTACCAGCAATGTGTGAGGGTTCCAATTGCCCTGCACTCTCACTATCATTTGGCATTGTCAATTTTGGGGGGAGAGGGCAATGATTTTGCTGTTTTCATTGTCTGTAAATTATTTTTAACCACAAAGTAATTCATAATCTTCATGAAAACCTGTAGGACTTTAGTCTAAAGGCCATTGTCTGGATCTCTAAAGACCAGGGGTCTTTCCGCATTTCTGATTATGAAGAAAACTTTGACATTACCAAGTAGGCAACAATTGGCTTTTGACATCACTGTAGAGCAAGCATGTCAAACTTGTAGCCCAGGGACCACAATGAATATTTTTGCAGCACAGCTAATAACAATATGTAAGAAACAATTTAATACACATTTCATAACTTAATTCTTACAATACCCAGTTATGCATAATTATTAATAATGAACTACAACGTCCGCTAATGACTGATTACTCTACAATCGTGTTGCATTCATTTCCCTTACTTGCCTTACACACAGGTGCACCGTTTTTCTCCACTAATACTAGCAGTGAATATTTTAGCAGCTGATTGCCATGCCATTATTCTTGTACTGACTTGTTCGGTGTGCACAACAGGAAATATTTTGCTTTTGCAGAACAAGTAAAACAGATTTATTTGTATTATGCTTACTAATTTATGCAATTATTCAGTGTTTGGTAAGTAAATGTTCAAGAAAAATATTAATTTTTATTAAAATATTGTTATTTTGTTAATGATTACTCATTTATTTCAGCCCTTTGTATTTAGCATGTCTCTATTGAAATAAACCTACGTTTCCATTAAAATTGAAGCTTTTTTTTTTTTTTTTTTTTTGTGGCCCACATAAACTTAAACCCTGTTTATTTGGCCCGTGTTAACCTTTGAGTTTGACATGCTTGCTATACAGTTTCATTAATAGCCTGGTGGTGTGGCTTGGTTGAGCGTCCTTCCACGCACCAGATCACAGTCATGGCATGTGCTCAGGTTGTGGGCTTGTATGTAGTGTGCAAGTGGCACCCAATAGATATTTCTATCTCTCTTTTCTTGTCTCTCTAAAATTATTTTTTTTAAAAAGTATTTCAGGGCTGAAGCTGGTTTGGCTCATTGGTAGAGCGTCGGTCTGTGGACTGAAAGGTCCCAGGTTCGATTGCGGTCAAGGGCATGTACCTTGGTTGCAGGCACATCCCTGGTGGGGGGTGTGCAAGAGGCAGCTGGTCGATGTTTCTCTCTCATCGACGTTTCTAGCTCTCTGTCTCTCTCCCTTCCTCTTTGTAGAAAATCAATAAAATATATATATATATTTTTTAAAAAGTGTTTCAAGAATAGTTTAATTTTGTGTTTTGTTTCTTTCAAAGAACCCGGACCTTTTCCTGGGATTGTGGACATTTTTGGAGTGGGAGGTGGCCTTCCAGAATATCGAGCTAGTCTCCTGGCTGGGAAAGGTTTTGCTGTGATGGCTCTGGCTTATTATGGCTATGAAGACCTCCCCAAGAGCGTAGAAACCCTCCACCTGGAGTACTTTGAAGAAGCTGTGAACTACCTGCTTAATCACCCTCAGGTTGGAATTTCTCTAAGTTTTGTGGTCTACATAGCAGGTCTCCTCTTCATAAATGCCCTTGGTCCTCAAAAACTTGACTAATTCATGACAGCCACTCCTTAACCCCAACATACCAACTTTTATAGTCACTTCCCATATACAGTTACTATGCATTCATATTTTACTGTGCAAATTTCCTACAAGTAAAGAAGTTCTTAGTGGGCATTATGGGATCTTAAGTTCTAGTGGTTTATAGCATTTCATAATAAGCCCCAACACCTTTGAGAACCCTAGGTTTGACACAGGAAGTGGGAAAGGGAAAAGGAATTACTGCCTCCAGATGGCGCCAGTTTAATGGATCAGATGGACAGAAGATTAATTTGCAATTCACTTAGAGCTCATGATAAATGGAAGTATAGGAGCTCTTAGAAAAAGTGGAATCAGAATAAGATGTGGATAGAGAAAAGTTAAATGAGTTTTGATTTCACCAAATACTAGCTTTGGGGTTTATGTTTCCTCCTTTGAAAAACTGGGATAATAATAATATCATTTAATTCCTAGCACTTTCATGATGAATAAATGTTTGAAACCATCAAAAGTGCTGTTGTAGAAGCCTTGAGAAGAAAAAAAAAAAAAAAAAAAAAAAAAAAAAAAAAGACTGCTATTGAGAAGTCAATCAAATAGCTATTTATAATACAGGACTTTGGAAACTATGGCATTATCAGTCCTTGTAGAATAGTGCAAATCCAAATTACCCTGGAGGAGGCAAAGTAGAGATTAGAAGACAAGAAAGAGAACAACTACAAACAACTTTTCCCACAGTTTTGCTGTGAAAGAGGGAAAACTATGGCAGAGTAGCTTTGGGAGACAAGGAATTGGAATTAAAATGTAAGGATACTGTAGCATGTAGTACGCTGATGGGAATGAGCCAGGAGAGAAGAAAATTACGGAGGAGGAGAAAGAGAGAAGCAGTTGCAGGAGCCAAGGCTATGAGAATGAGAGTGGATGGGATCCCAAACCAAGCAGAGGAGTGGCTTTGGATAAAACAGAGACACTTTTGGAACCAGGAAGGAAGGCAGAGAGCTTCAATGCATTCGGAACTATGAATACTTGGCAGGGGGGAATGAGGACGAGTTCCTGCTGGACAGCTTCTATAATATTTTCTCCGTGAAGTAAGAAGAGCTGAAACTGAAAGGGAATAATCCCACGTGGTTCAGGGTTCCAGTTCAGGGTTCGGGTTCTGGAGAAGGCCACACACAAAAGAGACTAGAAAAGTATTAATTTGGTGATACTGGGGGCCAGGTGGGAGCCCTCCTCTAGCTGGAGGACTACACACTGCTCTGGCCCTGCTATCCCTTTTATTGAGGCTTTGGGGAAAACACCCATAGCCCTTAGGCAGGAAATAACAGAAATGTCCATAGGACAAACAGAGGTGGAGGCTGCTTCAGCTAACAATGCCTCAACTACAGGTGAGTGGTTAAAGCAATTAAGGTTGTTGACCAGCCTTCCCTGGCTTCCTGTCCACGTCAGGAAACAGTGATTGGTTTCCGAGAGGAATTCAAGAGGCTTGAGCAAATAGGAGAAGCTATGACATTGTCATGGGAGAAGTGAAAAGCAAACACAGTGTGAAGTGTGGCAGAAGTGATAGGCAGTCTGAATGCACACTTGAAATTTGCGGTCATGGAATTAAAGATTTGCCGGCACAACTGTGTATTTCCCCCCCTTTGGTGTTTATTTGTATAAATGCAGGCCTAGAGGAAGTGAAGGTGGATTTAACTAAGGTTATCCCTTTTCCAGGCACGTATGGCCAAAGGAAGAGAGGTATTCGCTAAGAGTGCTTACAAGGGAGGGATAATAGCAATGAAGTTTGAAATCTAAACTGGAAGGGGTAGGAAATGAGCATGAGAGATACTGATAGGAAAAAAAGAATGATGGTAGTCAAGGTCTCAAAGAAATGGGAGCGGGTGGCATAAAATGGCTGAACAGAAGTATTTAAGATGGTGATTACAGAGTAGAGTGCTTGCAGCTGAGATTTTGGAGATGGAGGTGTTGACTGATGATGGCTTGGTAGAGGTTCTGACAACGGAATGGGTGGCTGAAGCAGGGTATGGGAAAAAGGTCCTTGGAGGTATGGAGGTCAAGGAACCGAGAGGCTAACGTCACCAACAACGGTGGTGGAGACATTGTGGAAAGGAAGAGAGAAAGGAGGAGTAAGTAAAAAGTATCCCGGGTTGCGAGCCTCGGTAAACAGCAGAGCCCAGATTAGGGTCAGTTCCAACTGACTTCCAACTCCACGCACTACTCACCAGACTGACCTGCGGACTCGTGATTATTTCTCTGTCCTTCTCTCAGGTGAAGGGCCCAGGAGTTGGGCTGCTCGGGATCTCCAAAGGAGGCGATCTCTGCCTCTCCATGGCCTCGTTCCTGAAGGGCATCACGGCGGCGGTCGTCATCAACGGCTCCGTGGCCAATGTCGGAGGGACCTTACACTACAAGGATGAGACCTTGAAACCGCTAGGTTTCGACCTCGCTCGCGTCAAGGTGACCAAAGATGGCTTTGCAGACATTTTGGATGCCCTGAACAACCCTTTGGAAGGACCTGACCGGAAGAGCCTCATTCCTGTGGAAAGGGCCGAGAGCGCCTTCCTGTTCCTGGTAGGCCTGGATGACCACAACTGGAAGAGTGAATTCTTTGCCAACGAGGCCTCCAAACTCTTGCAGGCCCACGGCAAGGAGAAGCCGCAGGTCATCTGTTACCCACAAGCGGGGCACTACATCGAGCCTCCGTACTTCCCCCTGTGCCGGGCTTCCCCGCACTCCCTGGTGGGCAAAAATGTCATTTGGGGAGGAGAGCCCCAGGCTCATGCCATGGCCCAAGTGGATGCTTGGAAGCAACTCCAGGCTTTTTTCCACAAACACCTGGGGTAATCCCGCCAACACTGTGATCTTTTATTTGTGTGGCGTCTCTGATGTTACTGTACCCTGGGAACAGCAGTTGCGATTGGCGTGTAAATGTAGTGTGTTTGTTTTTTCCTTTTTAATAAGCACTTAGTTTTTCCTTCCTTACTGTTAAAACGAACTTACCGATGAGTTTTTCAAGATTTTTTATAAACGACATGCCTTTTCAGTTGTTTAGGAGGAAAAGAAGACGGAACAGATGGACAAGGCATACCTTTCAGTCTCTCCCAAATCACAAGGCTTTAGTTCTGAAAGGAAAAGTGAGAACGCTGATTAATAGTGACCCATACATAATTGATGCTCAGTAATTACTTAATTACTTACTATTGCTTATTGAATTTGTTTAATCCTATACAATAAAAGCCTACTATGCTAATGATATGCTAAGACTGCTCAACTGCTTGCTATGACATGCACTGATCACCAGGGGGCAGACACTCCAACTGTTAAATTAGTTTGCTGCTGGGGTCCAGCCAATCAGGACTGAGCAAGATGGGTGGACATGCTCTATAGCCCTCCCACAATCCTTCCCTGACCCTGATCATGCACTGGTGGGGTCCCTCAGCCTGGCTTGTCACCTCTAGAAATCCAGGATCCCTCAAGGGGTGTCAGAGAGCTGGTTTCGGCCCGATTCCACAGGCCAGGCCAAGGGATCTGAATTCGTGCACCAGGCCTCTCGTAATAAATAAATGATGACCTACCATACAAGAAAAGCATATAATGCCAAAAATATTACCAGAGGCCTAGGCAGTCTGGCTCAGTGGTTAGAGTGTCAGCTGGAGGGTTCAATTACAGTCAAGGGCACATACCTTGGGTGCAGGCTCGATCCCTGGCCCTACAGAAAGCAACCAGTCCATGTGCCTCTCTCACATTGATGTTTCTGTCTCTCCCCCTCACTTCTACTCTCTCTAAAAATCATTGGAAAATATCGTTGGGCCCTAACCAGTTTTGCTCAGTGGATAGAGCATTGGCCTGTGGACTGAAGGGTCCCAGGTTCGATTCCGGTCAAGGGCATGTACCTTGGGTGCAGGCATATCCTCAGTAGGCAGTGTGCAGGAGGGAGCTAGCTGATCGATGTTTCTCTTTCATTGATGTTTCTAACTGTCTATCCTTCTCCCTTCCTCTCTGTAAAAAATCAATTAAAAAAAATATATATATATATTTTAAAGACAATATCTTCAGGTGAGGATTAACAACAAAAAGAATGGAAGTAAACAGGGCCAGTGTGGTTCAGTTGGTTGAACGTTGTCCCATGCACCAAGAGGGCACAGATTAGATTCCCAGAGAGGGCACATACCCAGGTTTCATGCTCAATCTCTAGTAGGAGGCATGCAGGAGCCAGATGATTGAGGTTTCTTTCTTATGAATATTTCTCTTGTTCTCCATTTCCCTTCCCCTCTCTCTAAAAGCAATAAAAAATATATTTAAGACAAATAAAAAAATGGAAGTGAACATCTTAGCTGTAAATTACTAGTTAAACTACTACTTAGCTGTAAAACCACTAAAAATTTTCATAGCAAATATATTTTCAGTTCTTTGATATCTTCTTAGATGAATAGGTATTGTCCTAGTGTAAATAAATTTTAAGTTATGTTTCTGGTTACACATAAGGGCCTTTAAGATTTAGTTATTTTGAAAGCTGGCAAAACATTATTTAGATGAATTACATAAGGGATTTTAACAATGATTAGTGTGAAAATAAACTGATTTAATACATATAACACTTGATATAAATAGTTCCACAATAGACTTACAACACTTTTTTTTAAAAGCTTACTGTATTTAAAATAAACAATGCTTCACCTTGTGATTATGGTGTTATTCCCTCAATTACATTTTTCAGTAAAGCAATTCTTGACATTTTTTCCTCCTGAAACTCAAAAACAGTACAGTGCTTTTTGTTTTGTCAGCTCTTTCTTATATACGACTTACTGTGTGCTTATCATGTAATCCTCACCAACCTGTAAAACAGGTGTCATCCTCATTTCACCAATGTGGAAACGGAGACTCAGAGAAGTTCTTCACGTAGTAAAATGTATGTAGAGCTGGGGCTCACATCCCCAAATCCGGCTTCTTTTCTCTGTTAAACTGCTTCCCTTAGCTCTGTGGATCTTCATTTTATGTGAGCACAAAGCCATTGGTCCATCAATTTCTGCCTCTTCTCATCCACCCAGTGGAATGCACATTTGTGTAGTTTGTTCACATTCACACACACTGTGTGTTCTTCAGGTATATCATCGTGAATTTCCTTAAAGCCCATCCATGCTCTCCGTAAGATAACCGATTGGGAACTGTGGAGAATAGTGGCCAAGTTGAACCAGCTCATTGGCGTTTCAAGGATGTGTAAATTATCCAACCAGTGTAATTTCTTTGTTTTTCATAAAAAAAAACTATTTTTTTTTTTTTACTTAAGAGTTGAAGTTCATCAGTGTCTAATATTTTGTTCTTATTTTTTTGTCTTAGTTTTGTGGTGATATCACCACTGATATTGAGTTTACTTCCTGACTAGGATAAATAAACTAAGTGGACCAGTGCACGGATTCATACACATTGAAAGGAAATTAATTAGAAACCAAATTCGGGGTGATAGTGCACCAGCAACAATGTAACCCGCAGCTGAAGGTGGAATCCCATGCCCCACAAGGAATTTGGCTCCCTCCTCTCTGGTTGTGGGTGTGTCACCCGAGAACCACGTTGCAGAGCATTGTGCCCCCATCGGTTGGCCGGTCACTTAGCCTTTTGTAGACTAGAGGCCTGATGGATGAAATTCGTGCAATAGTAGAGCTTCCTTACCCCGGCGGCCGGCACAGGCTTCCCTCTGGCACCCGGGACCCAGGCTTCCCTCCAGCCACCAGTCAGCGCCCAGGACCCGGGCAGCCGCAGCTTCATCCAAAAGGTCATCCGGTAGGTCATCCAGTCTAATTAGCATATTATGCTTTTATTATAGACTCAATTATACCCCACCTGGTGTAGAAAAAAATAGATGATTTCATCAGCCTCACAATCAACTGCCCATCACTCTTGGATATCTCTTCGTTGCATCAGCTCTTCTGAGCGTCAAGACAGACTGCTGATTGAGCTAACTGACAATATTGTTTCTTCCATACTGGAGAGATTTGTCAGAAATGGCCTCTAGGAACATGACATGGACTTCTTCCCCACCATTTTCACAACACACATTTTTTTCTCTATTTTAATACTTGTTACTATTCCAATATCACAAAAATTACTGTTATACAGAAACTTCACTTCTGTCCTCTTGGGGTTTCTGGTTGGGCCTGAGAACTAAATTTACATAAAAACAGATTAACAAGAAAAAAGCATGCCAATTTTATTGTTACCTGTACAGAAAGTCTCCACAAGAAAATAAAGACCCAAAGAGTTGGCAAAACCTAAGTACTTACATACTAGGTTGAACAGAGTGGTAAAATACATGAAGAGACTAAAGGAAATTATCTTAATACTAGTGGCCCGGCATAAAATTCATGCAGGTTGGGAGGTATTCCTCAGTCCAGCCTGCGCCCTCTCCAATCTGGAACCCCTCAGGGGGCGTCCTAGTGCCGGTTTAGGATGTCCGATCCCTGCAGTCAGACATCCCTCTCGTAATCCGGGACCGCTGGATATGTCCTAACTGCTCACCTGCCTGCCTGATTGCTTCTAACCATTCTGCCTACTGACCTGCTTGCCCCCAACTGCTTCCCTCGCCTCCCCCCATGGCCTGATTGTCCGAACTGTCTCTGCCTCAGCTCTGCCACCATGGCTTTGTCCAGAAGGTCTCCTGGTCTAATTAGCATATTACCCTTTTTTTAGTATAGAAGATCTTGTACAGAATTTCTGGTGATAAGACTGAATTCCATTTTCTGCTTTTAATGGGAAAAGGGATGGAATATGTGCCCTTCTTGAACCTGTTGTTTTTGAGCCTTTAGCTCAAAATTATCAATATCCCATAATGACACATTTGGAGGAATCTTTCCCTCCTGCATCTGACTTGTTTCCACAAGTGTCTATCATCCCCACCTGATTTTGAAAATTGAAGAAAAACTGACGGAGAATTTTCATCTTGCTATGTGCTTAATTTCATGTTTCTGAAATGTATTTTTTAATGTCAAATTCCTTGTTTAAATTTAAATACAGAACAATCTTCTAAAAGTCAACCTCAAAATTCCATCATGAGTCCCATTAATAGTAATAACTTCTGTTAACCTCCTATTTTCTTTCTCTACCGTTAAAAAGTTTTCCTTTCTTGCCCTCATTTCTAAAAGGCCACCAATACCATAATGCGTCTCCTCCAATGCTCTCAAGATACTGCCAAGTTCTTACCCAGCATCCATTACCCATCTCCCTTTTATTAGAGGGCCTGACTTTTTTTTTAATATATATTTTATTGATTTTTTACAGAGAGGAAGGGAGAGGGATAGAGAGTTAGAAACATCGATGAGAGACAAACATGGACCAGCTGCCTCCTACACACCTCCTACTGGGGATGTGCCCGCAACCAATGTACATGCCCTTAATGGGAATTGAACCTGGGACCTTTCAGTTCGAAGACCATCGCTCCACCCACTGAGCCAAACCGGTTTCAGCAGGACCTGACTTTCATTCAGGGATTGCTCTAGGCCTGGGGTCAGCAAACTGCAGCTCACGAGCCACATGCGGCTCTTTGGCCCCTTGAGTGTGGCTCCCCCACAAAATACCACAGCCTGGGCGAATCTATTTTGAAGAAGTGGCGTTAGAAGTTTAAGAAGTTTGGCTCTCAAAAGAAATTTCTATTGTTGTGCTGTTGATCTTTGGCTCTGTTGACTAATGAATTTGCTGACCACTGGCCTAGGGCTTCAGGGTAAGCCAACCCCACCCTGAGGCAAAGGTATTCAGTAATGGTGATCCTTGGTTTGTTTTAAGTCCATCTCAACATCCCACTCAGTGGAGAGTAGTGATTTAGGTCACATACTTGGAATTCTCACTCTCTCACTAAACAGGAACAAAAGCACAAAGCCCAATTACTTTAACAGCCACTTCCTTCTGATATCGCCAAAGGCAGAGCAGACAGAGAGCAGATGGTAGTGTCCTCACTGAGCAAAATCAGAGACACCAAAGCAGCTCTTTGGTGGCTCAGTGGTTAAAGCCTTGTCCACTCTCAGAAGGGTCTGTAGTTCCATTCTTGGTTAACCTGTTAACCGAGTGGGACGTATAAATACGTCAAACGTAAACAATATCGGGTACGGGTAGGACATATGAATATGTCCTTGAAATATATGTTGAGCCTTGCAACGGGCGGGATGTGTATTTCCGAACAACAAAGGTATTAGTCATCCATACATGTCTCGACATGAATTTAAGACACGGAGGGAATCAGTATAAATTCGCTATTGAGAGTGATGGACGTGTTCTGGGTGAGCAGTGATGGGTACATACTTACACTTACCTACCTATTTTCGTATTATATATTATTCACTTATATTTTTTATATCTCCAACCTTTATATAATAGAAAAACATAAAATTGATCCAATCATCAATAATTTGTCAGAAAAGTTTAAAAGTTTTTATGTAAGTGATCGAGAAATATGCGTAGATGAATCTCTTTTATTATATTATGGAAAGGGAATTTATCTTGGAAACAAGATATATCTACAAAAAGAGCTAGATTTGGAATGAAGTTGTTTATTTTGAGTGAAAGCCAATCTGGATACATACAAAATATAATTTTATACACAGGCAAGGACACAAATTATGGTTCGAACTATTCACAAGAAAAACAATCAACAAGAATTGTTTTGGAGTTAACACATGACTTACTGAATAAAGGGTATAAGGATTTACTTAGATAATTTCTATACGTCAATTCATTTGGCTGAACTCTTGTATCAAAACAATACAGACATTGTTGGAACAATAAGGATAAACAGAGTCGGAATCCCCAGTGAAATAAAAACAAAAAAATTACATAAAAATGAACATATAGTAAGAATCAAAGACAAACTTATGGTTTTAAAATAGAAGGATAAAAAAGACATATTGATGCTCAGTTCTATTCATAATGATGAAAAGACAATGATTGAAAAGAGAGGAAGAAGGCAAGAAAAACTGAATGTTGTCCTGATATGTGCTGCTTCAATGCATATATTATATACAAAAAAGATAAAGGTCATTTGGATCGATTACACTTTTTAAAAATATATATATTTTATTGATTTTGCAGAGAGGAAGAGAGAGGGATAGAGTTAGAACATCAATGAGAGAGAGTCATCGATCAGCTGCCTCCTGCACCCCCCCCACTGGGGATGTGCCCGCAACCAAGGTACATACCCTTGACCGGAATCGAACCCAGGACCCTTCAGTCCCCAAGCCGACACTCTATCCATTGAGCCAAACCAGTCTCGGCCGATTACACTTTTTGATAGTGTAGAGAAATTGGTAGATAACAACATAGTGAAAACCCACCTAAAGACATCAACAAGCAGCTCTACATCTAAACCATCACGCTTAGTTGAAAGGCATTTTCCAGAACAAATTAAAAGCCATATAGGAAAACTAAATCCAGGAAATGCCCAGTTTGCTACAAAAAATGGTGTTAGGAAAGAATCTACATACTGGTGTCCTGATTGTAAGGTAGCACTATGTATCAACAATTGTTTTAAAATATGTCACACGGAAGTTGAGTTTTGAATTTTTACATCTATATTTCAATTTTTTTAACTCAATATTTCTATTTTGTGTGCTTTTGTTTAATGTTCTGTAATTGTTAACTTTTTATATTTTTTATTGTGTATAGAAATAAAAAATATATATATTTTGTAATCTTTATAATTGTTTATAAAACTTATAATTTAATTCGGTGTTTCCATTTTTTTGTTGGTATTCTTTTCTATTTGATTGTAATTTTGTATTTTCCTTTGTGCTTTATATATAAATAAAAGAAAAAATATATATTTCATTTATTTTAATTAAGTATAAATAAATAAAAATAAAATATAAAATTAAGTCCACTGGATGTGACGTACTGACACGTCCTAGTGAAAGAGTATGCGCCCGTTATACGTTGCATAATTAAAAAGGGAACTCCCCGGTTAACAGGTTTTTTAAGGGCGTGTACCTGGGTCACAGTTCCATCCCTCACCCCAGTCAGGGGTGCCAATCCATGGATGTTTCTCTCTCCCTCCCCCTTCCTAGCTCCCACTCACTCTGAAAATCAATGGGGGAAAAAAACATCCTCGGGTGAGGATTAATTAAAAAAAAAAAAAAAAAAAAAAAAAGGAAGAAACGAAACAAAGACACTAAAGAAAACACACTGAAGGAATCATTCCCATATATAGCGATCAGGAAAGAAAAAACCAAGCACGTTTTGTGGAGCCAGGAGAGAGTTCCTCCGGGAAGGGGCGGTGAAAGTGGCTTCTGGGGCGCCGGTCACGGAGTTCCCGGATCTGGATGCTTGGTTGTGCGGGTGCGTTCAGGGGATGGGAATTCATGGAACGGATCTGTGCGTTTCTTAGAACCCACTGAGAGTTCTTTTTTTAGCTACCCTTCCCTGTGGGAGGAGCTGGACTTCTTGGAATTCTGCCTGAACTCATTCAGTTCCCCTTTCGCCGCGAATCTATTACCCAACAACTTTCACTTCCACAGGTGACAGCGCTGGGAGGCTGAGAAGCGTCCGTCGGGTCGGACGCCAAACCCGGCCCTCGGGCCCGCCCTGCGCCCCCGGCCCCGCACCGGGAGAGCCGCCGGGCCCGGCGCTCCTGCCTCGGAGGAGTCGCAGTCCCCGGCGCCCGGCTCCGAAGAGACCGGACTCCTCCACCGACGACTCAGCCCCCGGCCGCCCCCGGAGCCTGAGACCCGACCCCGTCCGACTGCGCGGCGCGCCCCCGCGGGCGTCTCCGGGTCCCGGGTGCTCCCCGGCCGGTGCTCCCCGGCTCGCCGTCCGGACAGCGCGGCGCGCGCGGCCGCCATGGCGGCCGCGGTGACGGTGACGGTGGAGCCCGCGGGCCGCAGCTGCTGGGACGAGCCCGTGCGCGTCGTGGTGCGCGGCCTGGCGCCGGGGCAGCCGGTCACGCTGCGGGCGTCCCTGCGCGACGAGAAGGGCGCGCGCTTCCGGGCCCACGCGCGCTACCGCGCCGGCGCCGGCGGCGAGCTGGACCTGGCGCGCGCGCCCGCGCTGGGCGGCAGCTTCGCGGGGCTGGAGCCCATGGGGCTCTTCTGGGCCCTGGAGCCCGAGAAGCCTTTTTGGCGGTTCCTGAAGCGGGACGTGCAGACGCCCTTCGCCGTGGAGCTGGAGGTGCTCGACGGCCACGAGCCCGAGGGCGGGCGGCTGCTGGGCCGGACGGTGCACGAGCGCCACTTCCTGGCGCCCGGGGTGCGGCGGGAGCCGGTGCGCGCGGGCCGGGTGCGCGGCACGCTCTTCCTGCCGCCAGGTGAGCCCGGGGCTGCTTGCTGCCCTTGGAGGTGCGCTTGGCACTTCGTTTCTGTGCTGCGTGAGGAGAGTTTGGCTCCGATGCAGGTCAGAGAAGTTGGCATTTGACTTAATAAGTGGTCGCACAACCAAAACAGAGCATTTGGATTTGTTAGGCTCTGTGCTATGCACTTCATGTGCATAATCTCATTTCATTGATATATTTCAATGAGGTGAGTACTGTTATGCAGATTAAAAAACACACACACTAAAAAAACGGAGCAGGGTCGGTAGGTATGTTGTCCACTTTGCTATGAACTTACTCTACAGGTCTCTCAGCATCAGCCCTACAGGTCTCCGGCAAAATAGATGGTCAAGGAAGCTATTGCCATGCCACCCTTCCCGAGTGGCCTGGGTACCCTGGGCCTCTCCTCCACTTCACATTCCTCTCTACCACAGAACAGACTTCAGACTTTCCTGCCTTCTTCACCTAAAGTCATCTCTAGATATTTTTCTTTCCTCGATCTAAATAGGCAGCTGAAATATGAATATAAACAAGAAAGCCAAGGGTTGATGCAATACAACACAAAACTGTTGTTGCTTTTTTGTTTTTAGGGTGTGTGTGTGTGTGTGTGTGTGTGTGTTTAACACTTTATTTTATTTTTTTACAGAGAGGAAGAGAGAGGGATAGCCAGAAACATCCATGAGAGAGAAACATCAATCAGCCACCTCCTGCACCCCCTACAGGGGATGTACTGGCACATGCCCTTGATCAGAATTGAACCTGGGACCCTTGAGTCCAAAGGCCGATGCTCTATCCACTGAACCAAACCAGTCAGGGCCAAAACTTTGTTTTAAGACTCTCTCTCTCTCTCTCTCTCTCTCTCTCTCTCTCTCTCTCTCTCTCTCTCTCTCTCTTTCTCTCTCTCTCTCTCTCTCTCTCTCTCTTTTTAAAAATATATTTTCATTGATTTCAGAGAGAGGCAGGGAGAGGGAGAGATAAAAACATCAATGATGAGAGAGAATCATTGATTAGCTGCCTCCTGCTTGATCCCCAGGAACTGACCCTACAATTCAGGTGCTCTATCCACTGAGCCAAACCTGCTAGGGTTTAAGATTCTTAATTCTATGTCTCCTTCTCTTGCAGATAATTTACCATAGAATCATATGAAGGGTAAACTCATAAATGAGAAGATACTACCAGAAGCCAATTCCAGAATGTCAGCAAGGTTGAATCACCTGGAGATGGCTGAGGGCATTTCCCCAAACCTGAAAGGGATGCATAAATTGATTGATTGCTGCCAGACAGCTAAAGGCATCTTAATCTACATGCTATTGCCTCCTCCTGGCCAAGCACTTGAATAGCTGTAGGCAATTTTCCAATCTGGCAATGGATTCTGCATACTAAACTCTAGCTTTAGATGTGTATATCTTCCTTGCCTTAGGACAGTTTGTGTTAATAAAAAGCAAGGGGTCCTGAGAATAAGGGAGAACTTGGTTTCTTTAGCCAAGCTCCTCTGGCCCCCCAAATGCCTTTTCATTTTGTATGTTTAGTCTCTGGACTCTTGATTAATACCTTCATTTTATAATATTCCCTCCTCTAGGACCTGGACCTTTCCCCGGAATCATTGATCTCTTTGGTGTTGGAGGGGGCTTGCTGGAATATCGAGCCAGCCTTCTGGCTGGCCATGGCTTTGTCACATTGGCTCTAGCTTATTATGGCTTTGAAGATCTCCCCAAGGAATTCGACAGCAGAAATACAGACTACTTTGAAGAAGCCCTGTGCTACATGCTTCAACATCCCCAGGTTCTCCTAATGTCCTTTATTGTATCATTCTCTCTCCATATACTATCTCCAGAAGGCATCACTTTGCACACATTTGTGCCAGGTGCGCTGATGGTGCTGTACTCTTCTCTCACAGAGATTTCTCTTGGAGACTTCCTTGACGTTATGTGCCTTGTTCCACTTTGTCAGATTCAGCATGCAGAATTAACCATAAAATACATGTAAGATTTTATTTAAAGGAAGAACTTAGTAATATTAAAACTCCTTTTGTTATGGAGCTTCTGGTTTGTTAGTTTTGCATGCTTGTTTTTTTATTTTCCATCCTTTTCTGAAAACAGATTTGTATGTTCTCAGATTTTTATCAGAATTGGCCCACCCATTTCAGAAGCTAAGAATAAGTTAGACTCTGAAATCTCACTTTGTTTGTATAAAGTTAATCATTTGCTGATATATTTTGATGGGATCTGATAAATGATTCACTTCTTGAATCCAGAACTTAAATACTTGTATCCAGAACTTAAAATACCCAGGCTTGTTGAGACAGTGTCCATACCCACCTACACTTGACAGGCTCCAGGACTCAGCATTCTCTAATGCAGTGTTTCCCAAAGTGTGGTACGCGTACCCCCAGGGGTATGGGAAGAGTTTGGTGGGGGTACACGGTTGCACCGGAGTTTGGTGGGGATATGTACTGCACCATGCTTAGCTGCGCCTAATTCTACGTTCTCATGAGTACGAGGGATACTCAGCGTTACGAAAATTATAGAAGGGGTACACATATGTCAAAAGTTTGGGAAACACTGCTCTAATGGACAGTCGATTCTCTGGAATGTGTATAACCAATTCCCAAACTCGCCAGTGAGTTTAAGGTGTGTTTGCCGTGTGTCCAGCCAGATTTTCTTTACTCTGTGGGAAGAAACTCCTCTGTCTGTTTGATTCTCTTGTGCCCAGTTCACCTATTAAATCTAGTGGCACATCTGGCAGCATTTAGAAAAACATTTTCTATTGGGTAGGTTCTTGACTCTTCTCCCTTCTTTTCTTCCAGGTAAGAGGCCCAGGCATTGGCCTTCTGGGCATTTCTTTAGGGGCTGATATCTGTCTTTGTATGGCCTCATTTTTGAAGAACATCTCAGCTACAGTTTCCATCAATGGATCTGGGTTCAGTGGAAGCAAAGCCATATGCTACAAGGATACTTGCATCCCCCCACTGGGCCATGACCTGAGGAGAATCAAGACAGACTTCTCAGGCCTCCTGGACATTGTGGACATACGGAACGATATTGTGGGAGGCTGTGAGCACCCCAGCATGATTCCAATAGAGAAGGCCCAGGGGCCTATCCTCTTCATCGTTGGGCAGGATGACCATAACTGGAGGAGTGAGTTGTATGCCCAAATAGCCTCTGAACGATTACAGACCCATGGGAAGGAAAAACCTCGGATCATCGCTTACCCTGGCACAGGGCACTACATTGAGCCTCCTTACTTTCCCATGTGCCCAGCTTCCCTGCACAGGTTACTGAACAAGCCTGTGATTTGGGGTGGGGAGCCCAGAGCTCATTCCAAGGCCCAGATAGATGCTTGGAAGCAAATTCTGGCCTTTTTCTGCACACATCTTGGAGGTACCCAGAAGGGAGCTTCCCCCAAATTGTAATGCATTGGTTTGTTGTTGACATGAGACATACAAGTCCAAGTCTAGTGTTTAATAATCGTTAAGGGAATAAGTTATTCTTGAAGAATATCAACTTCATATCATTGGTATTACTGTAATATTTAGGGGTAAAGGGGAGAGATCAACCAAACTTGTGTACATGCATATAATCCTAACCAGTGGCCATGGACAGCAGAGGGGTGAGGGCGTATGTGGGGAGGGGTTTGGGATGGGAATGGGGGGATGAGGACAATTATGTAATACCATAATCAATCCATAAATAAATAAATAAATTTTATTGATTTTTATAGAGAGGAAGGAAAAGGGATAGAGAGGTAGAAATATCAATCAGCTGCCTCCTGTACACTCCCCACTGGGGATGTGCCCACAACCAAGGTGGTAACTTTTTTGAATGTTATTTTTTTCACTAATTTTACCAATGTAGCACATGCCTGTTCTAGAAGATTCAATTAAAGATATACAACAAAGCCCTAGCCAGTTTGCCTCAGTGGATTGAGTGTTGGCTTGTTGACCAAAAGGATTCGATTCTGGTCAAGGGTATGTTCAATTCTCAATTGCAGGCTCCTCCCCAGCCAGGGCCCTGGAGTACATACATAAGTGAGATCATATAGTATTTGTCTTTCTCTGACTGACTTATTTCACTTGCATGATGCTAAGTCCATCTGTGCTGTTGCAAAAGGTAAGATTTCATTCTTTTTTGTGGCTGAGTAATATTCCATTGTATATATGTACCACAGCTTTCTAAACCACTCCTCTGCTGATGGAGAGTTGCTTCTATATCTTGGCTATTGTAAGTAATGCCTCAATGAACAAAGAGTGCATGTATTTCTTCAAATTAGTGTTTGGGTTTCTTCAGCTATATTCCCAAAAGTGGAATCAAGAAGTGTTGATAGCCCTAGCTGGTTTGACTTAGTATAAGTGAAATTAATATTACTACTGGAGACAATATATTACTCCACACGTATAGCAAAATGTATTCAGGAGAAGCAAAAAAGGCAGGTGATTATTGATTACCATTTTTTTTTCCTCTTTCCTATACCCATCAGTGAAACCCGATATTACTACTTACTTCCTTAGATTGTCTCCTCCATATCTAAAGCAAAGCCATGCTTCAGTTTGGGCACTCTTTTTAACTCCTACCTAGTCTTACAGTTTAATCTTTTCCCAAATCATCTTCACTCTGATGCCTAAAGTAATTTTCCTAAGATACAATTCTGATCATGTATGCTTATCTAATTAAAATCTCAATGATCTGCCTCCTGCTCCTCTTAGCCACATCCCTCACTGTTCCCCTCTTAAAACAGCACACTCTCATCATGTCGAACTTCTTGCCTTTACATAAGCTGTCCCTCTGTAAATCTCTCTCTGACCCACAACATGTGCTGTTGGCCATTCTGTCCCTGGTTCCCAGTCTATGTACCTGTGTAGAGCAGCTACTATAACAGGTTTGTACTGACCACTCATGGGTCAGTTTCCCCTTTACATGTGAGATCCCTACAGATAAAAAGGTCTCATTTATTTGTTTAAATCTCTAGCATCTAGTACATAGTATCAATGTACCTGTCTC